GTCTCACTCTGTCACCCAGACTGGAGTGCAGTGGCCGCTCCCAGCCACCTCAACCTCGACCTGCTGGGTTCCATGATCCTTCCACCTCAGCCTTCCGAATAGCTGGAATTACAGGCATGCGCTACCCTGCCTGGCTGATTTTTTGATTTATTGTAGAGATGAGGTCTCGCTGCCCAGGCGGGTCTCGAACCCGCGGGCTCAGGCAATCCACTCACCTCAGCCTCCCAAAGGCGTGGGATTACAGGATGAGCCACCGAGCCCGGCAGTACAATAAATTTTTTAAAAATTAGCTGGGTATGGTGGTGGGTGTCTGTAGTCCAAGCTATTGAGAAGGCTGAGGCAGAAGGATCGCCTGAGCCCAGCAGGTCGAGGCTGCAGTAGCCATGATGGTGCCACTACCCTCCAGCCTGGGTGACAGAGTGAGACTCTGATTCAAAATAGTAATAATAAGAAGAAGAAGAAGAATAGACTGTGGTCCCTAAAGTATAGTTCTAAAATCCTGCACAAAAGGTGTGAAGAGTTCATTGCTTTGCCTGGCAACGTATGTCCTCTTGGGCCACTTCTTCAGGTCCTTGGCTCTCAAGTCTTTCAGAACCCAGATAGGACCTGGTGAATTATTTTACAACTGAATAATTAAAATGCAAAATTTGAGTGGAAATGCACTTAAGTTTCAAAGACTTTCATAAGAGAAAGGATGAGTGAGGCAGAAGGGATAGTATTGGGACAGGTAGCAGGACGGCCCAAGCCCAGGCTCCAGGCTAGGCAGGTCTCTTCCCGTTCTGAGTCTCAATATTCTCATTTGTAGATGGAGGGGATAAAGTCTTCCAACAGGGTGACAACCTTTTAAGATACAATAATGTTTAAGAAAGCCCATGGCAAGTCTCTAATGCAGTGGACTGAGTAGAGGCCTAAGCATCTTCACAACTGCCCAAGCAAATCATAGGGGCCACACTCACCTCTCAAAAATCTCCTGCTCCTTCTGCTGTGAGAAAAGAAAACAAAATCAGGCTTGGCACCAGAAAACTAGCAGGTAGTCAGTATTTAAACATATTTAACACAGGGCTCTATGTGGACACAGACTCTAGAATAAAAACTTTTACACTGGGCACGGTGGCTCACACCTTGAATCCCAGTACTTTGGGAGGTGGAGGCGAAAGGATTGCCTGACTCAGGAGTTTGAGACCAGCCTGAGCAACGTGGTGAGACCATGTCTCTACAATAACTAAAAAAATTAGCCAGGTGTAGTGGCACATACCTGTAGTTCCACCTACTTGGAAGGCTGAGGTGGAAGGGTCACCTGAGCCCAGCAGGTCGAGGTTGTGGTGCCCGTCAGCGTGCCACTGCACTCCATCCTTGGCAACAAAGTGAGACTCCAACTCAAAAAAAAA